AAATCTGATATTTTTATCATTTGCCTTTGTTGTTGTCATCAACAGTGTGACTGCAGCCTAATAATAATTTAAAACAACTCTATTTATTATGATCAATTATAGATTAATCTTTGACTAAATAAAATAATTATAATAAGCATAGATTGTGCATTCAAAATAAATATTGAGATGGAAATATTTTCATTAATGCATTAAAAATTGTAGGTAAAAAAATTACAAATATTAAAAAATCAAGCAAACACAATTTTAGATGACAATTTGTTTAAGAGTGATAGCAGGACTTTCTTTAGATAATCTGTTCCATTTACTTTTTACAGAGTTTATATGATGCTAGATAAAGAAATTTTTATACTAAATAAATGGAAGAGATTTAGGATTTAGTGAATATTCAAAACTTTTACACAAATGAGATTAAATATGTAAATGATGATAATTTTGGAAAAACAGGTGGATAAAAGTAGATTAAAACACAAACAAAGAAAAATGATTAGCAAAACACACTTGAGAAAAATCGTCAGAGAAATGTGCTAAGACCTTGAGATGAGGATTTTTATATAATTGCAATCAAACAATTCAATTGGTCCTGCTTCTTCAGTTCTCCCTGATTGGTTCTTTTTTGTATCCAGGTAAAACTAGACTCAATCAGGTCTTAAGAAAAGTCAATCCTCAATGTTTAACCTGACACCACATCTCGATCTCTGACCACATGATGTTTAATCGCTTTAGATCCCAGCAATTTTTGATATAAATGTAATTAAACATAAAAAATACTTAAAACTGAAAAAAACGAAAGAAATGCGTTAATTTTGAAGAAAAAGCTTCAAACCTTTATTTTCCATTGTCTCGCCTTTCTGCGAAATTTGACACTGATGAGACATTGTTTACACAGCTGGATGACCTTGAGAACATCTGGCGTTAGATTCCCCGGGACATTCTCATAGACGTCACGGGAGGACAAGGGTTTAAAGTAGGGTGAATACTAGCTGGCCGTATATTTTTAAAAAATTCAAATTTTTATTGCGATTTCCGACCCCCGACTTAATTAAACGTATATATAATAAAATGTATTAATTAAAAAACTATTGGAGGTCGTTTTTGATATCAGAAAGTAGCTTTAAATAACTTTACCGAAGTAAAATCCGTGAACTACAACTTTAGGACAATGAATGAAATTTGATATCAAAATCCCATTAAAAACAAGCGTTAATCGTGCGTCATTAAAGGAAAATTAAAATCGCAATAAAATTTTTTCGCGCGGGTAAAAATTTTTGATAAAATTTGGAGACAAAAAACATTCCAAAAATCCAAAAAAAATTTGGGGGCCGAAATGACCGAGTTTTCTGTAACGTTATGTAACCTGCCCAAGTTAACTCGGGCGAAGAACTAAAGGGATTTAACAAACTTCTGAACTTTTGCTGGAATTTTACTGTCTTGTTTACTTTCTTGTCTCTCAAGAATTTCTGTTAGGTATTTTGTGATATTTTTATTAAAATATTTTATTGCACTTCAAATTCACTGTAATTTTGCCATATTTATGAGCAACAAAGTCAAAGTTTGTCTTCCCAGTAAACTTTGTTAATATTAAGCATAAAGTTTTACAGTGCAATGCAAAATATATTACACACACTACAGTAATACCTCGACTTACGCGAACCCGGAGTTACGCGATTTTCAAATCTCGTCGATTCGTCTTTTGTTTGAGCGCCACGCAACTCTTGATTTCTTACTCCCCCCACACTATTATTCAGCTTACATGTTCGGATGTGTCGCGCGAAATCGACACATAGCTACAATTTATTTTGTGTTATTTATTTCTGTATTTGTTTTATCTACGGAGACTCGAGAGACTCTATGTGGTGATTTCTTGTAACCGTGAACGAATCAAAAGACGAGATAAGATTAACGCGAACATTTATTAGCTTATATACATCCGACTTGGATTTTACACAAATTGCGAAATTATACCCCGACTTATGCGGTTATCGCTCGGTCCCACCTATCGCATAAGTTCGGGATATTACAGTAGAGCGTCGATTATCCGAATCAATTGGGGACTGGGGTTGTTCGGAAGATCGATGTTTCGGATAACCGGTTATGTACGAAAAAATGTATTAATTTATCCCATCTTGACATTTTTCTCCGTTGCGTGTCGTGTCGTTCAAAATAAATATATTGAAAGATATAACAACAATGACAAATTATACTTTAGAAGTTAATTTAGTATCAAAAACGTAAAATATTTGAGTAGCCCAAGACATAGCCAAAGATTGCAGCGCCACAGCACTGGAGAAAATTTAAATTTTCCGACTGGAATTCTTTCGGATAATCGACGCTCTACTGTATTGTATATCATATTTAAAAAACGATGTGTATCACTGTCTTTTAAATGTTTACAAAAATTATTATTTGTCTTGCTTGTCTTAATACTTTCCATTTGACACACACAGTTAATACAAATTATAAAAAATTGTTTCAATAATGCTTTCACAAGAAGCGAGTAATGAGAATATTCACTTAACTGAGTTGCAGTGAAAAGATGCTCATTCTTACGAAAGATGAGTAGTTGAAATTAAATTAATTGTATCATATTATAACTTCATAATCCAATTTTTTCCTGGTTTTATTCGTACTGGAAAGGTTCTTCTGAGAACTTTTTCAGCAACAAAACATAATTTTATGATCATACGAATATATAGACCACCTTGATCTTTTATAAATATTAAGCTATCCTTTGTTAAATTTGTTTTATTTCCAAACAAAAGCTTCACGCAGGAAAAACATTTAGCAGTTTTAGAACATGATTTCACAATAATTCCAGCAATATATTCTATTACTTTTTCAGAATAGTGTTAGTGGTTCATATTGTGGAATATAAGAATGGTCAAATTTTAAAATATTTTGCTTTATTATTATCTTGCTTTTCTATATATTTTTGATTAGAAATGCTAAATGGAACGATATTTGTACAGTTCAATTGATTATTAGCCAGAGTTTCTCCATCTCCAAAAGCTAACAAACACTTCCTATATGCTGATCTAAACTGCAATACTGTGGGATTGTTGTTACCACCACTATTTCTAATTGCAGAAAAAATAACTCAATGTGATCTTGGCTGAATTTTTTTTGTTAGAAGATAATTTAATAATGGCTTTTTACTCCAAACATATTGATTTGCCATTTGTTCTATATTTTTTAAATCAATTATTAGAACAATTATTGAAATCTTCCTTCTTTCTTTAAGTGGACAGTTTTTACAATCATTCAGTTTACTGAAATAATCAATTCCGTGGTTAATAATTTTCAAAAAGTGGTTTTTGTTTCTGTTTGTGACTGGACTCTTTGTCCATCTTCCCATTGACAAGAATTAAACAGGTCAAATATATCATTTACTTTCAATGTGAATACAGCAGTTGCATCAACATTATTAAAGCCTTTATGCAATTTTCTTTACAAAATATAAAAGCATTATTTACAGATCTACTTAATGTCTGTGCTGCTATATTTACCTTCTTTTTTGTCTCCACCATTCAATATGATATGATTTTAGTTTATTTGAGACATGAAGACCTTCTTTATTCTTTAAGTTATATAACTGAATAAAATAGTACCATTTAATAATTCTGTCATCATTCTCACCCATCTTTAGCATCTTTAGAACTTTAAGATCAGCCAAAAGATTCCTCATTAATTTCAACATATGAGCTGCATCAAGAAATGCATAAACTTTAATTTCTTTTGTTGAAGGGTGATAAAACCAGTTTTTCAAATTTTCTACATCAAAGTTAATTCCCAATTCCTTATACATTGAAATATTTGATGCAGATCCATCACATGTTGTTGCAATTACAAAAGCACCAACTAAATATAATTTTTCTAAATATTGTTTTATTAGATTGGCTTTAACTGTGCTTTGTATTCTATTAATCAAACAGTAACCAACAGGAATTTTCCAGCCTTTGTTAACTGCACTAAGTAAAAATACAAGTGCTTTTGTTGCCATGGGAGTATCATCATTAAGATTTCCATGACCAAGATCAATATATCCTATTACTTCTTTCCCATCCGAATCAACTTGTTTTTTAATTGCCATTTCATCAATAATTAAGCAACATAATAGTGGATGGGTTGAAATTAGTGTTGTAACGAATAGTATATTCGGCCTCAGGCCGAATACCGAATATTCGGCCAGGAGCGTGGCCGAATAGCCGAATATTCGGCCAAACTATTCGGCTTGATTAACGCACGTACGAAAATTGGCGCGCAAACCGCATTATNGGCCGAATATTCGGTATACTATTCGTTACAACACTAGTTAATATGTTGATTAAGATTATGAAAATACTTTACCTTCTTAACAGCATCTATTAATGTTCAGCTTGGTAACATTGCCACCTATGTCACCTGGTAAAACAATTTCAACCATTCAAATATTTCATTTAAGATTGACTGTAGACAGATACTATTCCATTTGGAGAAAAATAGAACTACTGTAAATGCATAATGGGAAGAATAAATAATTTTAATAATTAATTACAGTTTTGGAACTTTTATGGCAACTATGGAGTCTTTATTAAAGCACACAAATCTTGTGAATATAAAGTTAGAATGAATGAACAAAATGCTGTCACCTCTTTTGATTATCTCTTCAATCTTTTCCATTTCTAAAATTGTATTCATAAATTAAGTTGTGGAGGCCATGAGAATAAGGGCTTTCCTAGCTTTCTGTAAAGATATAAATATGCATATCATTTATAATAATTTGTTTTTTCACAGATGTTTGGTAACATAATAAATAACATAATTTACTATATAATAAATTATTTAAATTATAAAATTAGAACAAGTTATAAAGTAGATTATATGAGATATAAAATTTTATAAAACATTGAAATTCATGATGAATTATGAGTGGTAGAAATAGAATAGAATAATTATAATAAAATAAATTATAATAATGATAATATAATAAATATTAATAATGAGGAATTATTTTTTATTAGATTCTTGGATTGATTTTCTCCATTGTTCTCTGCTGCGCCATAAAAAATGGTGAAGGTATGAGTTATCATGTCTAAGAAAAATTTTAACAGAAGGTGTTGCTGTTTGGATTTATTAAAAGCACGTCCATAAATAAAGCAATTTCCTGACAAGCCTAAGATTGTAACACTCATCTGGATAAAAATTATACTAGAAAAAAAAATTGTTTATATTGAATTATTTAGAATTGGTTTTTGATGATAAGTATTTTCATATATTTAAAATTTTCTAATATACATGTATAAAGTGATATCAAATAAGTCAATTTGTTATTCATAACTTCATTTTTTCTGCATTGTATATGTATATTACTCTGAAACATTAGTATTATTTATATTATCTTTTTTACTTGTCTTCCACTACTCTCTTAATGAAAATTTTATAATTTGATATTAAATTTTGCAAATCTGGTGCAGTGGTCAAGTACTTACTTTCATGTTTTTCTTTGATTTTATTTAGCAATATTTTATAAATTTATTGTTAACTAATGTTTGAATTTATTTAAATCTCAAAAATTCAGAGGTTTGTAACAAAATATGAATGTTTCTGTATATGCATTCCAAATGTTTTTTTTTCCCACTTGATAACTTTTGTTCATTCTTCAAATATATATTTAATTAAAACTAATATGACTGACCACAAAATTACACAAGTTTATTGAATGCAGTTGTTTATACAATGATCATTAATATTTAGTAAATTTTTTGTACATTATAAACTTGTAACTTACCTTGTTAATCAGACAATATTAACTATAAAAAAAAATATATATATATATATATATTATATATGATAAAAGAAATTGGCCATATAAACAACCCATTTTGCAGTTGGGTATATAATTGTACAAATGTACATGCAGTTGTTTTGTGAACTTGTTGCTACTGAAATGTTGTCATTAATCTGAACATAACTAAATAGTACAAGAAATATTTGAATATTCTACTTTGAAAATAACTGTAAAACTTTTATATAAATCTTAAAATTTTTCTACTGACTTTGTTGTTTCTTTTTCAGATTTTGTAACAGATTTGTCAAATAGACATTTAATTTTAATCTTTATGCATAATCAGATTGAAGAAAAGTGATTTTTCTTCATTATATGAAAATTTATCTTTACTGTTGAGTAATAAAAATGTGTCTTTAATATGCTTCAGTTTTTATTTTGAAGTATTTTATATCATGTAATTTTAATAGATATTTCTTAAATCAGTATTTGTCAGAAACAAGCTTTAATAAGAAAAAAGAAAAAGAGAGATTATTTCTGTAACAGTTTTATATTTTAAGCATTCCTATTCAAATGAAAATTTTTTTCAATATATTTACTAGCATAATTTTAGTTTAGTCATGTTCCTGAGTGTGTAAATATTAATGTTTTAAATTAATACTGTATATATACTGTAATGTATTAAATTAATATAGATTTCTGAACAAGTTGAACAAGAACACATTGATCATTTTGCAAATCACTATGTAATTTGAAAAAGTCTGAATATTCAGATTTTTAAGAACTGATTTACCATGACCTTTAGAAAAGTTAAATATTTAAGAGTCAAGTTTTATGTAAATTTGAATAGCTTAAAACTTGTCTTATTAAAATCTCACAGGGATAAGTGTTTTAAAAGTTTGAACAGGCAGTTGTAAAGATTCTGAGAAATCAAAGATTTTTTTCTATTGAATTTAAAACTCCTATACCTGTAAAACTCAAGATTAGCATTAAACTGTCTATATAGATTCATGGAATAATAATGAAGAAATTAATAATAATGTTTTCAAATATTTTGATACTAAACAAGGCATAAAATTAAAATTGAGAGAATTGAATAACTTTTTAGTAAAAGTATAATTTCCACTTTCAAACTCTTTGGTCAGTGATTCAACAATTAAATTTGGAATTGATTTTGCTACAGTTACAGTGCCAGCCCGAGGCAAGTTTTAGGATGGAGCGAGATCCTATTATGGCGCCCCCTTGGTCAGTAGCGTAGCGAACATAACTGGCGCTCGGGACACGACACTTTATTGGCACCCCCTCTTCGCTCCAGAAACACACATGGTTTGTCTTGGAGACCATTTGGGCGCCCCTCTGCGAGTGGCGCCGGGTGCATGATACACCCCTTTGCACCCCCCTCGCTACGTCACTGCCCTTGGTTGCCCCAAATTTATACCCTTTAATTTTCTTTACCACTGACGCGTCCCCTAGGACTTAGTGCCTGGAGCGGCTGCTCCTTTCGCCCTATGGTAGGGCCGGCTCTGTACAGTTAGATTGGTAATTCATTTGGAACGAAGATTTGAGTGAATGAACTTCATAAAATATTAGGATTTGAACCTAAAATTTATGATGAGGTAGAACATAGAAGAAAATAAACATAACTAAAGGAATCAATGATGATGAATATTTTAATTATAATGTGCTCCACTGATAACATTTCAATGATTATAAAAGTGATATTTTTTTTATTCTTTTACATCATCTTTCTCCTGGAAGTTTAATAAAAGATAAATGACTTCTATTAACACCTACAAAAATAGGATTAATTTCATTAGATTTATAGAATTAGAATGGAAATAAGGCTGCATTCATACTGCAGATAATGAAAGATGCCATCATTATCATTTAGGATCTGTGGTCGTCATATTGGTTTGTCACCAAAGCATTCACATTGTTCCTTAGAGCATATGCCATTTACATTAGGTTTAGCATTATTACATAAATTTCTGCAATGTTAGACCGGACTCTCCTGTTATGTATATGCAAACTGTCAATTCTTTGAACAAGTTGGAGGAATGGCTAATCTTGCATGTTGAAAACAGATTTTTGTTCTATGACTTGTCCAGAAATATATAATAAATTCAGCTGTCAACGTCAGAGTATTGTGGGGAGCCCATGTTGATTGTCCAATACTGTTACAACAAATGTTGAATCTTGGCTAACTTTCAAACAATGAACAACTAATATGAAAATACAATAATTAACAATTAGTATGAATGTTTTACGGAAAAAAATCTGATATTTTTATCATTTGCCTTTGTTGTTGTCATCAACAGTGTGACTGCAGCCTAATAATAATTTAAAACAACTCTATTTATTATGATCAATTATAGATTAATCTTTGACTAAATAAAATAATTATAATAAGCATAGATTGTGCATTCAAAATAAATATTGAGATGGAAATATTTTCATTAATGCATTAAAAATTGTAGGTAAAAAAATTACAAATATTAAAAAATCAAGCAAACACAATTTTAGATGACAATTTGTTTAAGAGTGATAGCAGGACTTTCTTTAGATAATCTGTTCCATTTACTTTTTACAGAGTTTATATGATGCTAGATAAAGAAATTTTTATACTAAATAAATGGAAGAGATTTAGGATTTAGTGAATATTCAAAACTTTTACACAAATGAGATTAAATATGTAAATGATGATAATTTTGGAAAAACAGGTGGATAAAAGTAGATTAAAACACAAACAAAGAAAAATGATTAGCAAAACACACTTGAGAAAAATCGTCAGAGAAATGTGCTAAGACCTTGAGATGAGGATTTTTATATAATTGCAATCAAACAATTCAATTGGTCCTGCTTCTTCAGTTCTCCCTGATTGGTTCTTTTTTGTATCCAGGTAAAACTAGACTCAATCAGGTCTTAAGAAAAGTCAATCCTCAATGTTTAACCTGACACCACATCTCGATCTCTGACCACATGATGTTTAATCGCTTTAGATCCCAGCAATTTTTGATATAAATGTAATTAAACATAAAAAATACTTAAAACTGAAAAAAACGAAAGAAATGCGTTAATTTTGAAGAAAAAGCTTCAAACTTTTATTTTCCATTGTCTCGCCTTTCTGCGAAATTTGACACTGATGAGACATTGTTTACACAGCTGGATGACCTTGAGAACATCTGGCGTTAGATTCCCCGGGACATTCTCATAGACGTCACGGGAGGACAAGGGTTTAAAGTAGGGTGAATACTAGCTGGCCGTATATTTTTAAAAAATTCAAATTTTTATTGCGATTTCCGACCCCCGACTTAATTAAACGTATATATAATAAAATGTATTAATTAAAAAACTATTGGAGGTCGTTTTTGATATCAGAAAGTAGCTTTAAATAACTTTACCGAAGTAAAATCCGTGAACTACAACTTTAGGACAATGAATGAAATTTGATATCAAAATCCCATTAAAAACAAGCGTTAATCGTGCGTCATTAAAGGAAAATTAAAATCGCAATAAAATTTTTTCGCGCGGGTAAAAATTTTTGATAAAATTTGGAGACAAAAAACATTCCAAAAATCCAAAAAAAATTTGGGGGCCGAAATGACCGAGTTTTCTGTAACGTTATGTAACCTGCCCAAGTTAACTCGGGCGAAGAACTAAAGGGATTTAACAAACTTCTGAACTTTTGCTGGAATTTTACTGTCTTGTTTACTTTCTTGTCTCTCAAGAATTTCTGTTAGGTATTTTGTGATATTTTTATTAAAATATTTTATTGCACTTCAAATTCACTGTAATTTTGCCATATTTATGAGCAACAAAGTCAAAGTTTGTCTTCCCAGTAAACTTTGTTAATATTAAGCATAAAGTTTTACAGTGCAATGCAAAATATATTACACACACTACAGTAATACCTCGACTTACGCGAACCCGGAGTTACGCGATTTTCAAATCTCGTCGATTCGTCTTTTGTTTGAGCGCCACGCAACTCTTGATTTCTTACTCCCCCCACACTATTATTCAGCTTACATGTTCGGATGTGTCGCGCGAAATCGACACATAGCTACAATTTATTTTGTGTTATTTATTTCTGTATTTGTTTTATCTACGGAGACTCGAGAGACTCTATGTGGTGATTTCTTGTAACCGTGAACGAATCAAAAGACGAGATAAGATTAACGCGAACATTTATTAGCTTATATACATCCGACTTGGATTTTACACAAATTGCGAAATTATACCCCGACTTATGCGGTTATCGCTCGGTCCCACCTATCGCATAAGTTCGGGATATTACAGTAGAGCGTCGATTATCCGAATCAATTGGGGACTGGGGTTGTTCGGAAGATCGATGTTTCGGATAACCGGTTATGTACGAAAAAATGTATTAATTTATCCCATCTTGACATTTTTCTCCGTTGCGTGTCGTGTCGTTCAAAATAAATATATTGAAAGATATAACAACAATGACAAATTATACTTTAGAAGTTAATTTAGTATCAAAAACGTAAAATATTTGAGTAGCCCAAGACATAGCCAAAGATTGCAGCGCCACAGCACTGGAGAAAATTTAAATTTTCCGACTGGAATTCTTTCGGATAATCGACGCTCTACTGTATTGTATATCATATTTAAAAAACGATGTGTATCACTGTCTTTTAAATGTTTACAAAAATTATTATTTGTCTTGCTTGTCTTAATACTTTCCATTTGACACACACAGTTAATACAAATTATAAAAAATTGTTTCAATAATGCTTTCACAAGAAGCGAGTAATGAGAATATTCACTTAACTGAGTTGCAGTGAAAAGATGCTCATTCTTACGAAAGATGAGTAGTTGAAATTAAATTAATTGTATCATATTATAACTTCATAATCCAATTTTTTCCTGGTTTTATTCGTACTGGAAAGGTTCTTCTGAGAACTTTTTCAGCAACAAAACATAATTTTATGATCATACGAATATATAGACCACCTTGATCTTTTATAAATATTAAGCTATCCTTTGTTAAATTTGTTTTATTTCCAAACAAAAGCTTCACGCAGGAAAAACATTTAGCAGTTTTAGAACATGATTTCACAATAATTCCAGCAATATATTTTATTACTTTTTCAGAATAGTGTTAGTGGTTCATATTGTGGAATATAAGAATGGTCAAATTTTAAAATATTTTGCTTTATTATTATCTTGCTTTTCTATATATTTTTGATTTGAAATGCTAAATGGAACGATATTTGTACAGTTCAATTGATTATTAGCCAGAGTTTCTCCATCTCCAAAAGCTAACAAACACTTCCTATATGCTGATCTAAACTGCAATACTGTGGGATTGTTGTTACCACCACTATTTCTAATTGCAGAAAAAATAACTCAATGTGATCTTGGCTGAATTTTTTTTGTTAGAAGATAATTTAATAATG